CTCACAGGACAGTGCTCCAGTGGATCAGCCCATCCTCGCAATCAAATGCTAACTCAAGTCCTAGCCACGCTGAGCTCCCATCCTTTTTCCTTCCCCCGTCATTGTTTCCCCTCTGTCTTTAGTTCCGTACACATCTCTTTTTTCTCCTTTCTCTTTCGTTCCCCTCCCATTATTTGTTTGTTCTCTTTCAACTGGTTTCCCTTATCCTCCTGTCTATTTGTGTATGTGTGTGTGTGTGTGTGTGTGTGTGTGTGTGTGTGTGTGTGCATGTCCACAGATGTGTGCTGGTGAATGGGGCATGCGTGTGGAGGCCAGAGGGAAACCCCGGGTCATTCCTCCATGCTAGTCATCTTTTTCAGACAGGCGTGGAACTCACAAACCAAGCAGGCCGAGCTGGCTGGCCGGTGACACACAGAGATCTTCCTGTCTCTGTTTCCACAGTACAAGTGTGCTCCACCACTTCCGGCTGCTGCTTTCAAAGATGGATTCTGGGATCACACTCAGGCCCACATGCTTACAAGACAACTATTTTACTGACTTAGCCACCTGCAAAACACACACACACACACACACACACACACACTCATTTTAATGGCCGGTTTCTATGAGGGCCCTTTACAGCTCTTAACTGTAGAAGCAGTGGGTTCTGGTGGCTTTTAGCCTGGTTTCTACTTCTTGAATTTTCATATCACCAGGCAAAGTATAAGGAAGTGGGCAAAGCCTAAGGAACTCCTAGTCTATCATTCCTACCATATTTATGGGAAATGCCGAACATCTTGGCAAATGCACCCTTACTGTGAAAACGGATCATCTTGTTTGTTGTGACCACAAATGAATTCATGAAATTAAAATTATTTTCTAAAACTGTAGAAATCCTAAACTTAAAGTATAAAAACTTCTCAATGCCTTGACAATTTTTATGAAAAATTGTTTCATTAGAACTATTTTCCAAAATGCAGTGCCTCTAATGAAAATGAGTATTGAACTTTCCTCCACCGTTTGCCTTACGTGAAAAGGTGGTAATCAAAGCCTTGTGCACCGAAAGCTGAATGACCCCAGAGAGAACAGCTAATGTGGCCACTAAGACACTTGGATCACACAAATACTTTAGGCTCTGAACAAATAACAGCAACATCTTTAATGATCCGTTTGATTGCCAGTCAACACTAAGAAGAGCAAAAACACTTAAGGCTGTAAGCAGCAGGCTATTGGCTTCTAACTGCTGCTCTTGGAGAGGCTCTCACTCATATCCACAGGCCCTGGGAGAGTCGGTGCCTTATGGAGGGTCTCAGGCTCACTGCTGGCCAGACCAAATGAATGAAAACAGTGAAAGGTGCCAGATTACCCAAAATAGCTTCCCCATGCAGGGGAAAAAAGATATTAAATGGCCAGGGTCTGACCACCTGAGGTCATAGCCTTCCTGGAGTCCTAGCCTTCCAGATGCTTCCTGCCACCTTAGAAAGAAAATGAGAGACACAGACACTGTTGCTAAGACTGCTGCTGGATGCCCTATTAATATGATATCCATAAAAAATAAAGTTATTTGTAGAAGGAATCTTCATTCTAAAAATTACCTAAATGATGAAAGTATCCATAAGAAAATCTCAGTACCCTCAGGTGGTTCAGTTAGAATCTTAAACACACACACACACACACACACACACACACACACACACACACACACAGTAAAATCCATATGTAGATATATCAAAATATGTTGATATATAATGTCTCCAATGACAGAATGATCATGCTTTACACTGCTCCTTTGTTGTTCTTTAAGTATATGGCTCATTTGAAAGCTTTTCATAAAGGGGTGAGAAAAATATTCTTTGCTTTGTTAATAATATATATCGTGGAAACTGTTTTTCAATTAAAAATCAGTTTAGGGTTTTCAATCAGGCATCAGTGAAACGGGCCTTATGTCCTGGCTTACAGGCCATGCCGGCACCTCCTGCAGGTCTACCACCATAGTAATGTGGTTATACGACAGAGGGCAGTCCTCTTCCCTGGCTGCCTGAGGACCGTTGCCATCAGGAAATCACAGGATCTGGACTAGGAAGCTCATGACAAAGCCCCAGAAATCCATGCATACGAAGAGAGATGATTGTACAAGGATCTGAAAACCAAGAGGCAAGTACCGTTGAGGGCATTGTAAAGGTTGTCTTCCAATTTCGTCCATTTATCATTGCTGTAGTAAAACATCTGAGGCTAAGTAGTGTATTTTAAGAAAAGAGGCTTATTTGCCTCATAGCTTAGGACGCTGGATTATAATATGAGGTAGCTGTCCTTTTTTGGCTTTTGTTGGGTGTCTTGTGGTGATGGTATCTTGGCAGGCACATGTATGGGGAAGTCATATCATGAGACACAAGGCCAAAAACAATTTAAGGGTGGATTCTGTGTTTTAAAATAAGTCACTCATGAAGCGAACTCCCAGGTCCCAGGAGAACTACCTTAAGTCCTTCTAAGGGCAGTGACCCAAGTCTCCATTAGTGTCCACCTCTCAAAGGTCCCACTGTCTTACTACCAGTAACACTAGTACTCTGAGCACCAACATTATAACACGTGAATCCTTGGGGACGAATCACATCCAAACCATACCACCCTACCTATCTCTGTGCGCTTGTGAGTGCATACGTATAGATGAATATGGGCACACACATCAAAATACAAAGACATCCGTGTACACATGAATATGTGCGTACACAGAGGATATATATGTCTGATTATTGTATCATTGCGATAAGATGCAGTATCTCTGCTAGCATTGACAAGACTTAGGGAAAACTTTGACAACTCACCAAGTCCAGACAGATAAGTGAGGGTGGTTAATTCTATTGACTTCACAAATTAAATCGCACACTTGAAGTTAATTTTTATAAACTGCATGATTTCACCCTACACACACATTCTCCAGCTTCAATCAGGAGCCCTGCGCTTGGCGTCATACTGAGACCAGGCTTTGGTCCTCTTCATGTGACTCTTCCCCACTCTCTTGGTGTCCATCGATGTACTCCTCCCTTGGGTTGTTTCTACTCTTTACTTAGGGACCCGAAATGATGCAGCTGTGCTCTCCTGGCTCAAAGGGTTGGAATGAGTGTCTCCTGCTTAGGAAAATGAGGAATCCTGGACATGAGCTTACCAATCTTAGTGCGACGTCATACTGAATTAGGCACGAGTTTGCAACTGGAAATGATTTGAGTTTCTGTATAAAGTTTTGTAGCTCTTCCAGACAACATAGAACTGTTCCTGAACAAGAATCACTTCCTTTTCCTGCACAGGCAGGCCTTTGGGAATCATATGTGAACACTGAGAAGGAAGACAGTATGATAGAGAGAAGTGGGGTGGCTGCTTTGCTGAGAGAATCTGATGAGAACATGTGGACAGTGTCCTCCAGAGCCCTGGTGGCAAAGATGGGCTAAGACTGTGGAGGGAGACTGATGCTGCCCATGGCAGCTCAGAACCAACTACTACCCTGACACCTCAAAAACTGCAAGCAGGTCAAAAACCCTCAGGAGATCATCGAGCAGGCAACACCATGAGCACAAAGCTTCCTAATCAGAGCACATCATAAACAGGAAAAGGATGTAAAATGTGATTGAGATTCATGTTATTCATCATTATCTAAGTCTGCTGAGTAGAAAGTGGGTGTTGATCATTTTTATCCAATAAGTATTTTTTACTCACTTAAACAAAGAACATGTAAATTGATCATTGGAATTATTTAACAAAACACTAGAGAATTTTTAAGCCATGTGGATTTAATAATAGTCCATCACACGAATAGTTTTTTCCTCACAAACTTTTTACTGCAGAATTCTTCTTTAAATATCAGTGTCTCTAAATGTCAACCATCTCCACAATAATTTTCACTGTAAATACCATTTTTGTAGGGTAGTGTAATTAAAAAATAAAAATTTTAATGAACTTCCAACTTCTTCATTTTGTTGTTGAAGAAATGTGAGAGCCGGGGACATTAAGTGACTTGAAATTGGCCAACAACTAGTTAATGTCAGAGTTGAGGCTAAGCCCCACATGCCCCAACTTGGTGCACAGGGCCCTTTCTTCTCATCCAAACCCACACGCACTGTACGAGAGAGCTTTCAAATTGGGGTATGCACAGCGCTGCAGGCAATGGCAGAGTGCCAGGGAGGTGAAGCCACAGGATAAACACAGGCTGTTTTGCTTCAGAGTAAATATTACTCAAAGATTTGAGGAGAGTTAGGAGAGCCACTTTATTTTTATTAAAACAAGATTGATTATAAAGGAGGCTGCACATTCTAAATGAATTTTTAAGATTTCAAGCTTGTTTCCTCAAGCTATCATCCTAGCATATGGTAGTGAAAGCCTTCTGCTAACCCTGCTAGGGATGCAATAATAACAATAATAATAACAATAATAATAATATCATTTACTAGCGTGAGGACATCTGTGAGAGAGTTCTTTTGCCAGTCCCTTCATTCGCCTCCATCTCTGACATTCTGTGGTTGTTTGCATTGCGGTAGCCTCGGTGATCATGAAGTAGTAGCATTTTCAAAAGACCGCATTAGGAAGTTACAATGAGAGGCCAGAAAGATGGGTCATCAAACAAGGACACCCCAGATGAGGGAGAATCCCAACTGGTTCTGACGCAGCTAGCACACGGCTACTAGGAACTAAAATCCGGATTAGAAGAGATTTGCCAAAGGAAACGCTTATTTACTCTGTGTTGGCCCACACAGTCAGAAGGAAGTTTGGGGGAACCTCAACGCTGCCAACCTCATTCTCCATCCTAGGTCTGGGTGCATGATGAGGCCTTGGTGCTACGATGTTAGGAGCACCCAAACCTCAGTAGCTGAAATAAAAATTTTAATGCCATGCTTTCGAGTCAAAATTGATGCAAAATCATAATCCATGAGTAAAATGTCAAATTTGATATGATAATGAAGTCCTACGCTTCTCGGTTTGAGTGGGGCTGCACCGAGACTCGGAGGAGAACCGCCTCACTCCCACAGCTGCCAGCGACCTAAGGGATACCTCATTTCCGTAAATGAAGCCTGCTGGTGCTCATGTATCCACTCTGAAATTATTGCTGGGCAGCTGCTTGCTCTGGCCCTCAGACCCACTCCCGCTCTCTGGCACGCCACGGCCGGCACATTCGCTGCAGAGGGAGAGGACACCGAAGGTGTTGTGATGTACCGCGTAAACGTCATAGAAGTCAGAGTTTGGCTTCGGATCTTGCCTGATTTGCATCGGCCCTTACTTGAAGGACGGCGACGGTGGGAAGGGAACAGTGGACGATTGGTGCCCCTCACCGCCATAGTTTTCCTGATGTCCAGAGACCAGAAGTCCGCCTCGCTACTCATCTTTCCATGCTCCAACCTCCGGAAGACGTCAAAAAGTGCTCCGCTGAGCAGTCTCCAGGTAAAAGGCACCTCCCTTACCAGATCAACAGCCTGGGTGCAGGGTTGGGTCGGGGGAGGAAAGGGTCGGACACAATGCCTTGCTCTCCTGGAAGCCACTCCTGGGGTCTTGGTAAGGGGGATTTTTGCAGTACTAAACTCCACTCGGTCCCCTTAGCTAAGCCTCAAGGTTGGGGAACACTAGGGGGCCACACTAAATCCTAACTTGGGCTGTGTTGCACGGGGGTGCAGGAATTATGTTTCCTTCAGGAGATTTTAGTGCAATATTTAATCATTCGGCGATTATAAAACATTATCTTCCCGTACTAAATTCTGAGAGTGGGTAGTGGAGAAGGCTGCTGTGTGGAACCACCCCATCGCGAGTCTGTATCGGATTATTTCCATTTTTCTTGATAAAGTACCAATTAACTTGAAATCAGAAGCACACACACACACACACACACACACACACACACACACACACACACACGCACACACACACGCACACACACACACGTCAGGCTGCTGAAATTGTTCCCAAATCAACATCGTTCCTGAATAACAACAGTTCCCACTTGGTACAATACTGCAGACCTAAATTCTACCTTCTTACAATCCCCACCTGGGCTCATCCTGTGGCGATGGTTTTCCCCACCTTGTGTCCTTTCCCTCTTCTACCTTTCTCATGAACTTACACCTTGCCGTGACCTTACACGAGTCCTTTTCTTTCCTTTGGGCTGGTATGACTCACCAGGTCTGTGGACTTACCCTTAAATTACTGATGGGATCCACATTCCTTAACACTCATAGTTCTCTTCTGGGCACCTTGACCTGTATTGTGTGTTTGTTTCATCGAGGCCAAAAGCTCAGGCCTTTCTCAGCTGGCTACATGTTCCTTCCAGGCACTTTCTCCTCACCAAGCAAGCAAACGTAACACTGTCATAGCGTGGCATCATCCTGCCATTGCCTGCATCTTCCCGTTGCCCCTACTATCTGCCTTTGCCTGGATTCTCTATCCACACAGGATCTGATATAATCCATTGCTCACGCTTCTTCCCTGTCACCCAGTCATTCTTGACTTCCCAGAGGTGACCTTGCTCCATGCCTGTACCTCTCTCTGCACCCTAGGCTATCACACACTGCTGCTAGAGGCATCTTCCAGAAGCTTGTCACATCCTTTCTCCAGTTCAAAGACTCTGTAAGATGCTCGTATCATCCCAGTGTTAAGTCCAAAGTCACCTTTCCCAGCAGTTAACAAGCCCATACTCTAGGTACCAAGAGAAGGACACCAGGGGAGGAGGAGAAACAAACCTTTGGAATTTGTTTCACAGGGCACAGTGTTTAAAGGCATCAGTGTGGTTGTCATGTGAGGAAGGAGACCATCGCTAGACGTTCTTACTTGGATTTTACAATGTAGTTAGTTTGTACAAATACATGTATATGAATGTGTGGCCCTTGTGATATTCAGTTACTTTCAAGTGACAATTTACAGAAAATGTGTGACCTTCCGTTATACTTATTGAAGGCTATTAAAGCATTTGGGCACTAATTAAGTGCACAAATCTTAATTAAATTCCAAATCTAAATTTCACAGTTAACCCTCATGATATGATTCCCAAACAACTTTCTTGTTCTCCAGCTGCTTCTGCCTGCCTTTCCTCTGTACTCAAGGCTGCAGCTTCCTTGTGCTGTATCTTTGGTATCAGTCCTTTCTTCCATCAAAATCCTGGTTCTTTTCCTGGTACTCTTTAAGTCTCTTGGTCCTGCCCTGAAACCCCATCTCCCGGAGGAATAGGAACCTCTCCTTCCTCTGCCTTTGCCACAGTCTGTCTCCCCTTTCTTATAGCCCTTAACATTTGCCACGTTGTATCTAGCTAGCTGTCCCTGACTGTCTCCCACTTAAAGATTTACTCATTGACATCAGGCATCTTGCCAAATTTATCCATAGCTTTACCAAGTAAACTAAGACAGACTAGTCACAGCCCAAACTAAGCAGTCAGCAGTTTTGGTTGGTGGCTGGGAGATTGTGTTTGGATCTACTGTTTTAAAAATATTCCTTTTAAAGAATGCCTGCCATGTCTGTCCCATCATAGAAAATGACATGAAAATTCCCCAGAAGTGAGCAGAATCGCCACATCGTCTCCACATCTTTACCTCCGTGAAGTGAAAGGGCGAGCTGGCATGGTCTTTGTACACCCACAGCCCTAGTGGCTTTGCTGGCAATAGCTGAAAGGCAGATCAACCCACTTGTCTACTTACTTAAGTATGTAGACACCGCAGAATGCCACCGAGCTTTACAAAGTGAATTTCTGATACATACTACCACATAAAGATTAAAGACAGTCTGTTGACTGAAATTAACCAGCCACCCATGGCCAAGTGCTGCAGAGGTCTGCTTACACAAGGTCACATAAGCAGGAAGCAGTGCCTGCCTGCCATGGCTTGGGGGTGGGGTGGGGGAGGCACCTGTGAAGGGTGAAGGGAAGGTTCTAGAAGAAGACGGTGCTGGTGGTTATGTGAACGCAACTCCTTGAGGACATCCCTGATTCTGCAGAGCTATAAATCTGAAAATGGCAAAAGTGATAGAAGGTGGATGTCTGTTACCACAATACAAAATCATCAGGAAAGGATGTTGGAAGTCCTCTTAAATGAAGGGCCATGAAGGCCGGGCGGTGGTGGCGCTCGCCTTTAATCCCGGCACTCGGAAGGCAGAGGCAGGAGAATCTCTGTGAGTTCGAGGCCAACCTGGTGTCCAAAGCGAGTTCCAGGAAAGGCACAAAGCTACACAGAGAAATCCTGTCTCGAAAAAAACCAAAAAAAAAAAAAAAAAAAAAATGAAGGGCCATGAGCATCACCAGGGAAGTGGGGGGCGGGGCGGGAGGTGGGGGGCTGCTGCTGCCTACCACGTCTCAGTGAAACCTGAAACTTCAACTTCCCGCACACTTTTGTGGTACTTTGATATTCAAACTTTGTGCTGGAGTCATATAAAGTTACTTGATGAAAAGAAACATGCCATGATAAAAAAATTGTATAAGTGATTAGTTGTGCCAGTGATTTACAACTTAGGGTGGTATTTGCAAGTTTCCTATTCTTCTCTTGCTTTTCTAAAAATTTTTAAACCTTAAGTATTTCTTCTGTGGCTAAACTTTTGAAAATGCATAATACTTTCTGATTATCAAGTTAATACATATTTATTATAAATATTTAAACACTTGAAATGCATTGTCTTGAGCTAGGTACTATAGAATTGTCAACAGCCCCAGCTCCTCGGGAAGCTGAGCTGAATCACCAGACCCTATCTCAACACACACACACACACACACACACACACACACACACACACACACACACTTACATTTATTTTATATATAGCATACATACATTCATATATAATATATATTCTAGAAAGTAAAACGTCATGACCACATGAGGCTTTTGTTTTCAGTTTAGAGTACGTACATTGTATATGTACTTAATTTTTTAAAAGAAAACAGACATTGTGGGGACTTCAACAAATTACATCAGCAATAACTTTTTACATAAAAACGTATGTCTAGATATCCATCTCTCTTATTGGTCTCCAGAGAAACAGAGCCCCTAAAATGCGTAAGCCTACAGACAGAGATTTACTAGGAGGGATTGGCTCACCTGGGAAGGAAGGGCTGGACCTCACAGAGCTGCTGTCTGCAAGGTGGAGGTGAGACAGGGCTTGGTTCCTGCGGAGTCCAGTGGCTGACGACTGGGAGTGGATGGAGAGGAACGTAGGTGTCCAGCTCCACCAGTGAAAACAAATGTGCTCAGCTCCGCCTCTCTGTTCTGTCCTCAACGCTCAGTAGACTGGACGACGAGCACATCACTGAGAGTCAGCTTTGTCCGACTGCCAGTTCAAATGCCATTCTCTTCTGGAGACACACTCACCAACTCTCACAGATAATGCTGTACCAACTCCCTGGGCATCTCTTAATCCAGTCAAATTACCATGCAAAATTGACCATCATACCCTTCTCTATATGTTTAAACTACTGTACAACTATTCTCCTATGAGGCCATGGCCATGCCTTAATCTATATTCTAATTATTGGGAATATTTCGTAGCCACAGAGAAGTACGTTGAGATTAACAATAATACATTTCACTGTGCGAACTAACGGTTTCTGAGTAACAATGGCTAGGTGAAGTTAAAAGCATGACTTTATAACTTTAGAATTATAAATTTTAAATATTAGAACTTTAACAGAATAAAAATTTCATTCTACTTTGGCCTTAAGTCACTTTGCGGTGTTGAGATTGACTGTGCATACTGCAGGCTGAGAAGTTAGATGTTTAAGCCTAAATACCCAGGTGAGAGCACCTAACCCTGACTCAATGAGTTTTTCCAAGATTTGGTGTGTGTAAGTGTAAACTACAAACCAGCTATTGGAAGACCTGAGCCCAAGCCTGTAAATTCTCCAAGGCTTCTAGCTTCAGTTTGTTTGAGAGAGAATCGAGGGAAGGGAGGAACTGTAAGTTTTCAGTCACCCTCCTTCACTAGGATATTTACCTTTCTTGGGTCTTTGAGAATTTGTTCATCCCACTCGCTCTAACTTCTTAAAGTGCCCCGTTACATAGTAAATCCACTCTCAAAACCTTGTAAATCACTTCCTGACACTACTTTGGCTGGTTGTTTTGATTCTGATAGGTAGGATGTTTGTGGACCCAGAAGTGCACCAGTGACCCCCCCCCACTTTGGTTTTGTCTTGTTAACTCTACTCTTGGGCTAGTTTTTCCATATTGCTCTCAGTCAGGAAGCCTACCAGTGTTCATTTAGTGATTATTAAAAAAAATGCAAAGGGCATTATAGCTTCCACTGGATCTGTACTTTTAAAATTAAAGCCTGTGTCAATAAAATGGAAAACGTATTAATTTACTCAGAGAAAAATGGAATTTATTCATTTGTTTGATGCTTGTTGAGAACTTATTGGTCCTGAATATATTGAAGTGGGCCATTAGAAAAAAGCCCCTAAAAATATACATTGTATTTTACTCCTTCTACCTCCACCCTGGCTCTAGGTATTTTCTATAAAGACAGAACCCTGTCAAACACTAATTCTTCATTTATGAAGGAACATTTAAAAATAATTGCTAAAGAACCAAAATACTATACCTTGAAGAGAACTAACAACTTAATCATGGTGCGTATACACACTTATGTATTTTTTTTCCTTCTGGTTAAAAGTTATTTACACATCTGTGCCTAGGGTTAAAAATAATGAGATTCAACCACAAAGATGAGTAAATAATATATAATTGTAGTGTTGGAATTTATCAGTTTAGAGTGGTGGCCTCCATATTTGCCTTTCTTTTGATCTCCTCATAGACATATTGTTATTGACTGCAAATGTCTCAGTATTTTTGCTCATTGGAATGTGGTTTGACAGATTAATTATATGTTATCAGGTAGTTGAAGATCAGCTAAAGATATGTGGCCACAAGAGGGATGCTGATGTCTTCGAGCTGTTCCTCTCTAAAAAGTAAGTGTGCTTTTTGGAAAAACACAGCGGAATATCATCTTACAATCCTTTATAAAGGCAAATGGTTTTTGTTTTTCATTACCCCTTCTTCAAGGACTGGGTAGGTGACCACAGTCTAATTACCACTTATGAGAGTCTACTGCTTATGCTGGAGAGGCAAGACATTGAAAAGGAAAAAAAAAAAACTGGTATCATTGAGCCAGGCTAACTTGATGATCTTGGGGTGTTAAGTAGCTTTCCTGCTAGGATTATTACATTTAAAAACAAATAGGATATCAGTTAAATATTAATTTTAGAAAGACAGTGAATATGACTTTTAGTATCATTATGTCCCAGACAATATTCATTACTTCTCAAAAACTACAAATTATTAACTTGATACATTTTTATTTCATTAAGCAATTCTACTCTTGTATAATAATACAATCTTATAACAGGATGGCTGTGACATGTAGGAGAGTTAGAAACTAAAGAGAGACCTGGTACATAGTAGACTCTCAGTTATCATTAGAATATTATTACTATTGTTATGAATGGCCCATTCTCTTATTATAAAAACCACTATTGTACTATAACCCCTAAAACCACTTACACTAATTTTGTTAGAAAATAGAAAAAACTCTTCCTTTACATCAAAGAGGTGTTCTATAGAACACCATAATCCCAGTGTCTGCAACATACCCCAGGTAGAAGAGGGAGAGGAAGTGATGTGCATGGTTGGACTCTGACCACTGTATTTCCACTGGCCAATAAGTGACATTGCTTGGCCACTGTTTGCATTTTAATAGCAATAACATTGCTTTGACTCACATGCATCCCCCAAAACCCATACATTAGAAACCAAACCCCTAATGCAGCAGTGTTGAGAAGCATTGAGAGTTGATTGGGCCGTGAGAGCTCCGCATTTCACTCGTGGATGAATGGTATTGTGACCAAAGCAGGCTCATTGTTTCAGGAGTGAATTCCTGATGGAAGTGAGTTTGCTCCCTGCTCACACATGTCTTCACCAAGTCATAATGCAGCAAGAAGGCCACTCCAACAAGGGATGCTGCCCATCGTAAGCCTGGGTAGATGAAAAGGATATCGCTAAAACACTAGAAAAATTAGAAGTATCAACCCTTGACGGTGAGTGATTAGTGGTTTTCTTAAATGAAAGACAACAGAGCAGGGGCAAAAAACTATTTCATAGTCTACGTGCATAAACCAGGTGAGCTGGGCACTTCACTTAAGTCCCAGTTGCCTTTGGAATGACAGTGCCTTATCAATGTCTCTTGGTAACTTGTCAGCACAAGTCACAGCATCATTAGTAGTAGATTTACATCTCATGGTCTTGATTGGCCTCACCTTAAAATATAGTAACTTATTATTGATGTAGGACAGGCTTGTGTGCAGAAAAACACACCCAGCTTGAAAGTACTTTTAAAAAAATGAATCATTGTTGCATTATGTAATAGTCAGATTTTCCACATTGATATTATTACTATAAGAAATCTGATAAGGATGGCTAGACTCATTGATACTGTACTAATGGATTAAAATTTATGGGAAGTTCCCAAAGTGGGGCTCCAGATCTTTATGCTTCTCAGTAGGGGTTGTTTTTGTCACGTCATAGGGAGGGTTGAGTTAGCAGCTTACCATCCCTGCCTTTGCAATAGTCAGGCTGCCCCATGTTCTAGGGCCTCCTTCCTGGAAAAAGCTGCCAACCATGAAGAGAGATGAATGGGACTGTGCACTCCCCATTGAAGGTTGCTTCAGAGAAAGCTGGTATTTGTTGTTGTATCAGCGAAACTGTGTGTGGGAGGGTCCATAAATCCAAAGACGATGGAGAAGAAAAATAAAAGAGAGAAAGAAGAGAGCAGATGCTCTTTGTAGAAAAAAAAAAGTTAATGGATGTAAGACGAATTAGTGCATGAGAAAAAAAAATGTTTTTTTGTAGCTAGAGTTTTCCTGCCTGGCCCACAGTCAGGACAAATCTTTGTCACCCGCCAGTCCCACAGCCACTCAGACCCGACCAAGTAAACACAGAGACTTATATTGCTTACAAATTGTATGGCCATGGCAGGCTTCTTGCTAACTGTTCTTACAGCTTAAATTAATCCATTTCCATTAATCTTTACCTTGCCACATGGCTCGTGGCTTACCGGCATCTTCACATGCTGTTTGTCATCGTGGTGGCTGGCAGTGTCTCTCTGACTCAGCCTTCCACTTCCCAGCTTTATTCTCCTCCTTGTCCTGCCTATACTTCCTGCCTAGCCAATGACCAATCAGTGTTTTATTTATTGACCAATCAGAGCAACACATTTGCCATACAGAACATCCCACAGCACTTCCCCCCCACCTTTTTTTTTCAAAAAGGAAGGCTTTAACCTTAACAAAGTAAAATTACATATAATTTGGGAATTTGGGCATAGCTTCTCTTACTCCTTCCTGCTGGAGGGGGGCGCTGTATCTTACGGGGACACAAAGAAAATTTTAGGATCATGGAGTAGTCCGTGAGGCTGTATCGTCTGAGCCAGTTGACTTGAAACCATTCTGGATGTTGGATCATCTGGGCCATGGTATCATCGGAGACCTTTCAGGGGGTCTTGGCTGGTCAAACCTGATGTATCTTAATTTGGAACAAATCCATAGCCTTTGGCTTTCTGTGGGAACAAAAGCAGAGTCTCCTTTCCAAAGTAACATATCCTTACATCCAAATTTTGAAGTCAAGATATCTTTAAAATATACATATTGGTTTAACTCAACTTCCTTTACAATCAAATATCTCTCTGAAGTTAAGAATCCCAAAGACAACACAATCCAGATTCTCTGTGTAATATTCATCTTTATGTGGCTTATTTTTTATATTAATTTTACTATCTCTTTAAAGACTTTATTTTTTAAAACTATGTATTTGTTTATATAACTATATATCACCTTTTTTGTCTCTTTCAATCCCACATCAGGTGGGGTCACCAATTAAAGGCAATGTTGTTGTGGGAAGTAAGATTTTCATGTGGAGTTGGGCTCCACATGTTATGTTTTTAGTATAAAATCTGCACTTCTACAATAGACACCTGGCAGACCTTATATAACAAATAGCAACTTAATTTTACCAGAAGTGGGACGAGCTGACATCATTTACCTTCTGGTGTGACACATCATTTCCACTAGTGTCATCAAAAGGTGGTGGTACATCTGGAATATAACTGTTAGGAAACGATAAGATAAATAAAAAATGTGGGGCACTCTGCCGGTCAGTTGTCTAGGACTTTTCAAAATGTAGATATGCTAATGGGGAAGACTTTAGCAAACGTAAACTTAAAATGACTGGAGTTATAGCAACTGAATATAATACATAAATATGATGAGATAAGACATAAACAAGCTGTGAAAGTAGTATATAAATGTAGGGGAGTAGGAGGTGTGAATAGCTTATTTGATGGTTTACTTTGCTGAATTAAATGTAATCTCCTTAGGTGTGATAGTGGTATTATGATTTGCAGAAAAAAAAAAACATTTTAATTTGGAAGCTATGGATAATGAGCTATTTAGGAAAGTGAGCCCTACAATAATAAGTCTTATTTTCTAATGATTGCAGGAAAATTTTACACACACACACACACACACACACACACACACACACACGGTAGAGTAAGGAAAACGTAGTGATATATTTTTTAAAGTTTGTGGGCTAAGGAGATGGCTTAGCAGTTAAGAGTGCATACTATTCTTGCAGAGGGCCTGAATTTAGTTTTCAGTTTTCAGGCAGCTCACAACAAATAAAATAAGTCTTGATGCACTACAGAAACCGAGCCCAGAAAACCCTGAGCTGAAACTCCCTAAGTACAGAAGTACCAGAAGTCACCATGCATGACTCCAAAGGAGGGAGGCAACCTACAGTCCTACCCAGCTATGATGCCTATGAACCACTCAACAGCTGGCGTTGAATGATAACCCTAAGGGTACAGTAGGGGCATGTTTGCCTTGATGGTAACCACAGTTCTCTAATTGAAATTAAAATGGGAAATCACGCCTGGTACTGGAAACCTAACTAACTACTCAGGGCTAATGAAGTCATGATTATTGGAGGAGAATTTGCAACCTCTAATTTACTAAACCAGCAGAATCCCTAACAACAATCTATAAATATTTGTCCTTAGACACACAGATAAGTGGAGTCCTCACCTCTTATCCAGGAAACTTCTCTTAGCAACTGATAGAGACCACTACAGAAAAATACAATCAATTAAAATTCAGCATTGTGGAGCCCGATCCCACTGGATATATGTACAAAACATTCCCACATCTCGCCAGACGGTGGTGGCACATGCCTTTAATCCCAGCACTCGGGAGGCAGAGCCAGGCGGATCTCTGTGAGTTTGAGGCCAGCCTGGGCTACCAAGTGAGTTCCAGGAAAAGGCGCAAAGCTACACAGAGAAACCCTGTCTCAAAAAAAAACCAAAAAAAAAAAAAAAAAAAAAACATTCCCACATCTAAGGCTCGGGGAATATTATGGAAGGGGTTGGAGGATTGTAATAGTCAGAGAATCCAGAAGTTTGCTGTGAAATTGTGTCCCTTAGTATCATATATATATGCAATGGCAGGTACTGAAAAAGAGGCTATGAATTTGAAAGAGGGCAGGGGGAGCTTGAAGGTACAAAGGGATGGGAGAAATGTCATTGTAATTTCAAAATAAAATAGTCTTAAAAATAACTATGAAAATCTGTAATTGTCTATTGTACCCCCCTTTTCTTAGACTGAAATATTCCTATATAAAAAGCAACGAGGAAGGTTTGCTTTTTTTAGAAATATTTACATGCTTTATCAGGCACCATGGTTCACCTCTGAAATCTCACCTATTCAGAAGGCTGAGGCAGGAGGATTGCAGGTTTAAGTCTAGCCTGGTGTACTCAGGAAGACTTTGTCTCATAAAAATCAGGAAAAAAATAGTTCCTTGGAGTTTCATGACAAAAAATAAGTGTGAGCAGCTGGCAGTTGCGCACCCCTGTCATCCCAGCACTTGGAAGGTCAAGGGAAGGGGACTGAGAGTTTGAGTCTCACTTGGGCTACATACACATACCGTGACTCAAAACAGGTTTTAAAGTTTGAAAATGTTGTGAGAGACGTTGCCATGAATAAATTAGTATATGTAATACAGTAGTATTTTAATACTCCTACTGTTTATGTAAGTGCTCTGCATACTATGTATTGTACAAGGTTAGGAAGAGGAAAGCCGCATGCATGCTTAAGTGCTTGGTATCTACAATTTCCACTCTAAGAACTCAAAGGAGATCTGAAAACTCCAAAGGGCCACCTTTCCTCAGAGATGATACCCCTGTGGATAACTTGTCTGCTAGGTCCACATCTGTGGTGTGAGCACATCAGATGATGGCCAAGGCTACCTGGATGGTCAAGAGTCCCAACAGTTCAAGAAGGGTGGGTAATAGTGACCAGGAGATCACTGAGCAACAAAGCTCCCTCCTCAGCACCTGTCTCCAGGTGTCCTACCATGCTCATATCCTAGATCACGTCTGGCCACAACAGGATGAATGTCCAGTGTCCACCTCATTTTTTCTCCCTTCCCAATCCTCAGTGCAATGTTTTGAAATGAGCTGTAATAATGAGATATAAATTTCAGCTAATGAACTTTATTGGCAACACAAGCTTAATCCAAATGATGGAATTTTTGAAATTAGAAGGTGCCAATGATTCTGAAAGGATAGAGAGGCCTTGCCAGTTCCTCCCAAGCCATACGTGCGGTATGGCCAGCCTTACCTGTAAGCAAATGAATTTTGCTAATATTCATGTTTTTTTTCTTTCCAGGGACCTGACTGAGGTTATTGATCTTTGTAGATTTAAAAATTTAAAATATTTATGGCTCCATCATAATAAGGTAATGTTATGTTTTAAGTTATTTAAATGTCTTAATTTCATGCTTTAATGGAGCTAATATTTAGAATATTAAGTATTATTTACAAGCAAACATATATATATATATATGTATATATGGTACAGAGATATCAGGGACCTATCAGACATATGTACATCTGGTATATTGAATAAAACAATGTGTGAGATTCTATCAGACCACAGTTTTATTTCTGCCTCCCAAGTTTTGTGAAAGAAAGCTTGGAGAGTCACGTCACTCCTTTCCTGGTAATTTAAAATGTTACAGTCCATTTGGTCAATGTTGTAGACCAACTTTATCAATGACAATATTATTCACATATTGCTCTTCCTTTACAAATGAAATACAGACAGGCAGGCACGTGCCCATGCACACACACATGCATGTGTACGTGCATGCATGCGCATAGGCACAGAAACACACACATATACCCTGCCTTGATGAGAAGAAATTTATGTCTCATTGTTGACGAATTTATTGTAATCTCATTTTAAAACATTTTACCGGGAGTTGGCATGACCATAGGTGGCCATCTGTTTTCTTTGTTAACTATGGAGATAGAGATGGCCATTTTCTTTCCTCCTCACCTCTACTCCAGTCTTCTCCAGGTTCGGTATGGTGGCAAGTGTCTTTACCCGTATCTCCAGCTAGGTTTGGTGTGCACTGGGGTGTTGTGGAGGTTAAGGAAAGGCAAGGGAGAAACAGTTCTTTGTTTTGTATCCACTAGTGCTATTAGGTTTTCCAGGTTGGCTCTTGACCCTGTGGATCATCCAGAAGCTTCCCTGTTAGGTCTCTTGTGACATTTTCCATTCATCATGACCCTCAACGTCTCCTGTGTTTAGGCCTGGTGGCCAGCCTGTGGTGCTAATAATAAGGGTGATGGGAGGAGGTGAGGCCCAGTGGGTTTCATCGTACTGTTGAGGGGCTTTAGGAACAGTGGCCTCTTCCTCTCCTTTCCGGCTATCATGCCGCACGCTCCTTCTGCAGTGTTTCATCTTGCTATTAGCCTAAATCCAGCTAGACTAAAAGCAGAATGAAAACTCTGAAACTCTGAGCTGAAATAAATTCTTGCTCTTTTCAAGTTGATTTTCTCAAGTATTTGGACATGGCAAGGGAAAGCTAACTACCCTCCAGTAATAATTCTCTCCACTTGCTGTTCCTGACCACACCTTATCCAAACTCTACTCTCGTCTTTAGCTCTGTAGTTGTTTCTTTTACTTACAGAGGCTTTCTTACTTCATGTAATCCTATTTGTAAGTTCTTGCTAATAATTCTGGAGCTATCGGAGTCCTATTCAGGAAATCATTGCATACGCCTCTATCTTAAAATACATTCTGCATGTTTTCCTCTCACCACCTCAAGGTTTTGTGGTTTACACTGAGAACCTTGACCAGACCCACTTTTCACATGTGCTCTCATACTCAGCTCCCCAGATGCAGATGCCTTTGTCTTTTAGTCAGAGGAAAAGGGTGTCACTAGGCCCAACTGTTAGTGAAATGAAGTTAGCTTCATCAGGAAGCATCAGACACCAAACCCCTGTGTCTCCAACTTTAGGGAACAGTTCTCCAGGTCAGAAAGATGGTCTACAAAGCTTCCATTAGAGGCTGTGCTTTAGAAGTAAGTGCTCCCCTCATAGTAATGGCCTCAGTGTGGGGCTCCCAGCTCCTTCCAAGCAAAAGAGCAGAATCAGCTAACACTCAGACCCAAACAGTAATTACAGTTAACTAGTCAGAAGATGCCTTTCAGCTTTTCGTGTGGCTTTCCAACAGCCTGCCTTTCGTTCACTATACACTGATAACTCAATCTTAGTGGTTTTAATTTAGATTTCCAAACACCAGCAGTCACAAGGATGGTAATCTTTTCCCAACAGTGGGCTTCCTTTGTGCAGAAGTCTATATTCACAGCACTGAATCTTTAAACAGCTATGTTTATGAAAACATTTCAGTATGTCAACTGGGTGGAAATGGAAAATAAAATTGCTTTCGGTATTAACTGTAAGCATCAGACTGTCTCTTAATCTTGAAGTAATTTCTAGGAAGAAAAAAAAAATACCTTCAAGGCTCAGGCAACTAACAACTGAAATGGAAAGAACACGCACCACTTAAGGGTATTAAAATTCAAAACTCTTCTAAACACCCTGCCAGAAATTATCCTGGGTCATAGCACATGACCTCTGATTAAAACAAGATGGAAATCATCAGGCTTGGCAACAGTGACTCATCTTTGTTTGCAGTGTGGCTCCTTGCGGTGGTCACCTTTGAAAGGCAGACATGTACAAATGTTGCCCTGTGTCTAAGGGGAGGGACATGGTTAGGGACTTTGTGGTGCTTCTCGGCTTTCTGTGAGTGGGTAGTATCTGACCTCCAGCCACCCACTGATTTTCATACAGTTAACCTACAGCGGCCTAACGCAGAAAGGAAGGGGTTGTGTGCCTATCAACACTTTCTTTTTAAGAGGGTGGGGCAGGGTGGGATGCAGGGAGATACTGAGTTCTTTTCTTGTGTTTTTGTTATGTGCAATGAACTGTGTTCTTTTTAAAATCATCACTTGCTTTTTCTCGAAGGAACACATTAATGTAGTGTGTGTAACGTGCAAAGGTGAACCCTCCTGACACAGTTTAAGTGCTCCTGGGACTGGTGAATGAGCTGGGTTAGCATGAATTTTTCTACTGACAGATGGTTGACTGGGTAACCATGATGAAGAAATCTGGGAGATGTCCCTCAGATTTCTTTGTGCAATAAGTTTGGGTATATGCAGTTACTCATTTGGAAACACCTTACCTTTTTCCAGAAAATAATTACAAGAAACCACCCATACTAGAATATAAGAGCTACTAATAAACAAAATGAACTGTACAAGTCCCACATAGTTTGTGTGCTTATGATGTGTGTCTTATCAGGGCAACATTAACTCTAATACATTTGTCAACTTTGTTGACTTATAGTTTGCCAAATGTTTAAAACATAAAAAAATAAAACACAAACAATAAACATAAAGCTCACTGCATGGCTATGAAATCCATGGATATGAATGGTGTGTACCTAGCTTTTACTTTTTAAAGAGTTTATTTTACGTATTTGAGTCTGTGTGCCACATTCATGCAGTGCCTGCAGAGGCCAGAAGAGGGCATCAGATACTCTGGAACTGAAGTTCAGAGGCTATGAGCCTCCATACGGAGCTAGGAATCCAATCCATGATCTCAGGAAGAGCAGCTTATTAAGTAAAATAAGCTAGGTTCAGAAAGACAAATACTACATGTTTTCACTCATGTATACATTGTGAGTGGTTTGTGTGTGTGCGTGTGTGTGTGTGTGTGTGTGTGTGTGTGTATGTGTGTGTGTGTAGTGGATGTTTCTAGATCACAAAGCTAGAAAGGAAATCATGAGAAGGAAGGAAGAGATGTTAAGGGAACTGGAGAACAGAAAGTAAAGGAATCCACGTCATAAAGCAGAGAGGGGAACAAAACCACCGGAGAGAGGCAGGGGCCAGCTGCAGAGGGAGAGCGGGGAAGGGAAGGCAGTGAGGCAGAGGACGTGTTAGAAAGAAGTCTAAGTCTTTGTCAGGGTCTCTATTGCTGTGATGAACACCACGACCAAAGCAACTTGGGGAGGAAAGAGTTTGTTCAGCTTACACTTTCACATCACAGCTTATCATCAGAGGAAGTCAAGACAGGAACTCAAACTCATTACAGCAGGACCTTATGGAGGCGTTTTCTCAGTTGAGGTTCCCTCCTTTCAGATAACTCTAGCTTGTGTAAAGTTGACATAAAACTAGCCAACACAGTATGATAATACATATGTGTGAAGACTCACCATGGTTGTTTAGCCACTGGTCTGGAAGTTTCCCAGGGTTTCTCAGCCATGATGCTACTGACTTTCTGAGCTGTGTAACTCTTGATGATGAGAGGTGGCCATCTTAAGTCATTAAGCAGCATCCATGGCCTCTGCCCATTGGTTTCTAGGATATTCCCTGCCAGGTATTAAAACACAAACTGCTTCCACATCCTCAGTTACTCCTTGGAGGCAGGGAAGGAATTGCCTCCCTCACGAAGAATCACTCAATCTGACAAAAAAACAAACAAACAAGCAATGGCCTGTGAAACCTAAACGCAAACCAGCCATGCCTCTGCTCAAATCCAGATGGCTGCTTGTCACTTTGAGCTAAGCTCTCAAGGGCACAGCAAAGGAACTGCGGAGGGAGGCCCTGGCTATGGCTCAGCCCTGGAACTCTGGTCCAGCCCTTCCAGCCACCATCCTGTCTCTCATTTAGCCCTGGTTCATCACAAGCGCTGCTCTGACACAAACTAGCGTACTCTCTGTCTCCTTCACAGAGCCTTTGCAAGCATCCCTCCTTGGAAGCCAACTCTCCCAAGAGTACACCTCCTTCTCCATCTCCAGGCCTTTCCCACAACATTTATCCACTTACTCCATAAGGTGCAATTTACTTATTGTCTGTGTGTTTATTTAGTCAGTCTTCCTCTACCACTACAACAGAGCCAGGACTTTTGTCCGTTGCCCCTCACTGCCTTGTCAATGGACTTCAGCAGCCTGGCACTGCCTGTTAATGGCAGGGTGAGAAAATTAAAACCCTAGAATTTTCTCATAAATGCAAAATTCCAATTTGTCAGTGAATCACAAATGACATATCATGGTCATCAATTATAAACTTGAGGAAAGTAAGTTAGGGATATTTTCCTTGACATTTTCCTTTGGTTAACTTGATGTCTTAGTTCCTATTTATCACACATCGCATTAGGAAGTTTTCTTTCCATAGTCACCAATTCAAGTGATAAAAAGGACAGACACATTATCCTCCTGATCGCAGCAGAAAAAGCACTTATTGAAAAGACACTGGGTGGACATTACGAGGTTTAAAAATAAACTTCAGACAATTCTCAGGATCGAATGCTCCTGTGGTGAAAACTAAAAACCAGATTGCAGAATGAGTTTCCACAAACGGAGCAGCACAAGCCCATGCTGCTTGTA